CAGTAAATTCCTGTGAAATGCTTTTGATGTGTTTTAATGTTATCAGCACTATATGAACCGAAGTACTTTTTTTTATTTAAAGCTAATGGAAGCTATTCTTACTTTCGCTGCTATGACCGTTCTGATCAACTCTCTGGTGCACAAACTATGAGATGATCCTCATCACCAAACAATGCAGTGGATGTTATGCTGAGTCAGGACAGTAACATGATTTACTGATAGGTGTGCCACACTTCTCTTGGCCTGGTGTGGACAGGAAGAAAATGTGTGTATTTACATTGTAACATTAACAATAGTGCATATGCTGGAACATACAGTTTAACATGATCAATGACATTAATAAATTAAAATGGCATATTTCTTTCCTGTCAACAACATTAACAACTTGGATCTATATAGCGCCCTCCACCCCCAGAGCGCGTCACAATAACGGATCCTAGGGCGAGTCAGGGGGAGGAGGAGGAAGGTGACCAAAGGTACAGTCGAAAAGAAAGGTCTTTAGCCGAGATCTGAAAGTAGGAAGAGAGGGGGCGAGGCGAAGGGAGTGAGGAAGGGAGTTCCAGAGCCTCGGGGCACAGTGGCTGAAGGTATGGCCGCCGATGGTGGAGCAGAGGATTCGGGGGACAGGAGGAGGCCAGACTCGGTGGAGCGAAGGCAACGGGCACTGTTGTGAGGAGAGAGGTCAGAGAGGTAGAAGGGTGCAGAGGAGTGGAGGGATTTGAAACAAGCGTGAGGATCTTGGAATCAATCCTCTCTGGGACAGGCAGCCAGTGCAGCCTGGGGTAATCGGGGAGCGGAGTTTGGTACGGGTCATGCTCCATGTAAAATCTTATTTCGGTTTTAATAATAATAATCCTTGCATTTAATATAGTGCCTTATCATGTCGTTGAGATGTCTCAAAGCGTTTCATAGAATATATTGTATTGACTGTATTTTGGGGGCAAAAAAACCTTATTTTGGTTTCATTCTTTTCAAAACTATTTGTTACTTTTTGACTAAATTCTCGATTATTTGGGAAAATCATGTCTTAATTTAATTCTCTACTCCTTTAACGCTTTTCCAGAACCACTCGCCATGATATTCTCATTCTTCGACACTTTTTGCCAGGTTTGTTTACCTTGGATAGTTGTTGAAAACAAGCTGCACAGCCCGGAGTTTTCACCCCACCAGTTATTATTTTGCCCATACGAGAAATTGACAAGAAATAGAAATTGATACAAGGCACTTTAAACATTTATTTAGCCATCCGGATGTAGTCCTATCACTTGTGATCTGACACACTATTGTTTTGTTGATTTGAATGTCTCCCATATGATTACGACTTTCTAATCCATATTGATGCTGCAAAAATTTGTCTGTCTGTCTGTTTGCTGGTAACTTTCTGCTTCTGCACAACCTTTTTTTTTGCTTTGGGCACCAGAGACGTAACACAAGTAAATAAATACAAAGAGAAATGGAATGAAATGTTCAGCTAGTCATTCAACATCTGAAGACAAATGTGAGATATCCTTATCTATTATTATTATTATTATTATCATTATCATTTGTGGAGTCCTGTAGCTCAGTGGTTAGAGCACTCGCTTTGCAAGCGAGAGACCTGAGTTCAATTCCAGGCAGAGGGCGAAACCTTGGGCAAGTTTCTTTACTCCACACACCTAATAATAATCCCTCCAAAACCAAAAACAATAATAAATTGGTCATTTTCAATCTAAGACTGTTTGTGGGACATTGCTGTGCGCAATTGGCTGCCGCGTTCACCCACAAATATACAGTCAGTTCACTTTACAGTGTGTTCTGTGAAGCGCTTTGGGACGTCCTCCCGACGTGAAAAGCGCTATATCAAATGCAAGGATTATTATTATTACTATGGTCTTCAGCAGAACTAAACTAAATCAGCTGCGTGATACCAGAGGAGGAAGTATGAGCAGATCAGGCAATAAAAGACAAGTCAGGAAGAAGTTAAAAAAAATTATAACATTCAGCTATTGGATATGTAGCCTTTGACTCGTTTAGTCATAATTCACTTTATTAAGTGGGTGGTGTTATCGTTTCTCACAGGATGAAGATTTCTCTTGTGCAATAGCAATACGGTACTGTATATCTGATGCCAATACAACTCGGTGCAATGTTAAACATTGGGACAACACACTGCGCTATTTTGGGAGTGTGAATACGCTGACACTCCCACAGCCGAACAAACACAACACGTCCACACCACAAAGGACTTGTGCAGCTTAACTGGTACAGGGAATCTAATGCTGATCCGACGTGTGATCAGGAGGAGTCGAAAGAGAACATATGATCAATATCCATCGGGAGGAGGACACCGTTTTTTTTTGTCGGGCGAAGTGCAGATCCAACTGACACGTTGGAAAGATAACGAGTCAAGTGCTGGTGGTGGAGGAGCGGTGTCTGTCCGTGTCTGACTGTGTGTGTTTCTGTCTGTCTGTGTCTGACTGTCTGTCTGTGTGTCTGTCTGTGTGTATCTGTGTCTGACTGTCTGTGTGTGTCTGTGTCTGACTGTCTGTGTCTATGTCTGACTGTCTGTGTGTGTCTGTGTCTGACTGTCTGTGTCTGTGTGTGTCTGTGTCTGACTGTCTGTGTGTGTCTGACTGTCTGTGTCTGTGTCTGACCGTCTGCTCGGGAGCAGAGCAGGAAACAACCTGTGCCATTCTTAAATGTAACCAAACAACAGATCGACAGCGGAACTCCCACAGAAAGATCCGCCTCTCCCCCTCACTCACAACTTTTAAGTTTCACTTCACTGAAAGTCTCGTATCATTTCTCTTTCTCTCCTGAAGCTTTGGGGGTGGAGGGAGGAGGGGGGGAGAGGGGGAGAGAAAGACGAGCGAAGAGAAACTCGCGGAAAAAGGACGCGAGTCTTGGAATGAGCTCTAAAATGCAACCGAGCAAACAAATCCCATCTGATAAGGGCACATCGTAAATGAGACCGTTTGCGTCGGGGGGAAAAAACAGTGGTGGCTGAACAACCGCGGATCTGGGGAGAAATCGCCTTTATTCTTTCTTCCTTCTCTCTTTTTTTTTGTTCATTGGGGGGAAAAAAAAGGGAAACGGGCAGAGGGGGGAAAAAACGTGCCCGAGCAGTGGCGTCTTCTCCCAGCAATAGCAATCTTGGGGGGAGGGAGGGAGAGAGGGAAGGAGAGGGGGACTGAGAAGAGGGCGAAGGGAGGGAGAGGGGGAGAAAGGGGGGTAGAGAGGGAGGGGGAGAGAGAGAAAGGGAGAGAGGGGGAAGGGGAGAGAGGGGGGGAAGGAGAGGGCGAAGGGAGGGAGAGAGGGAAGGGGGGAAAAGAGAAGTAGAGCGGGAGGTGGAGAGAGGGAAGGGGAGAGAGAGAGAGAGTGTGTGAGGGGAGGAGAGAGAGGGAGGGGGGAGAGAGAGAGGTGGGGGAGAGCGGGAGAGGAGGGAGGGAGGAGGAGGGAGGGTGGGAGAGGGAGGGGGGGAGAGAGAGGGGGAGGGAGGGGGGGGGGGAGGAGAGAGAGGGAGGGGGGGAGAGAAAGAGGAGGGTAGGGAGAGAGGGAGGGGTGGGAGAGGGAGGGAGAGAGAGAGAGGGAGGGGGAGGGGGGGGGAAGAAGGGGAGGGAAGAAGGGAGAGAGGGAGAGAGAGGGGGAACCCGCTGTGCCCCGCGGCGACCAACGGGTTAAAGTAAAGTGAACCGAATTGTAAGAACTCCGTTTCCAGGGCGACGGCTCTGACCGTTCCATCTGAGCGAAACCAACTCCGCGCCAGACGGCGGGGGGGGGGGGGGGGTGAAGGGAGAGAAAGTCAAGAGGAAGATTGGACTCGCCCGGGCAACAATTTTTTCCCCCAAAACAAAAGCTCGCGTTTTGTTTTCATAACCTTCCAAACCCTCCCCGAAAAAAAAAGGATACCCTTAGTTACAACCCCCCACCACCCCCCCCTCCCCCCCCCACACCCGCGATGGGAGTGGGACGAGTTGGTTTGAAAAAAGATCAGACAAAAGGGCCGCCGCCACCGCGAGAGAGCGCCCCGGGGGGGGGGGGGAGGGGCGGCTTCACTGTCACACACACACACACATATATAATATATTATTATTATATATATATATATAAAAGGGGGAAAAGAGACAAAAAAAAAGTAACAAGTCGCCGTGGGCAGCGCCGCGCCTTTGTACGCGTGTGTTATGAAGTAACGCGGTCCCGGGCGGAGACGCCACCCCGGCGGCGGCGGCATCTGCTGCGCCCTCTCCTCCTCCCGCGCGCTCAGCCCGGAGCGAGGGAGAGAGGGAAGGAGAGAGAGAGAGAGAGAGGAAAGCGAGGGAGAGGAGGAGCGGTGAGAGAAAGGGGAAGGAAGGAGGGAGGGCGGAGAGGAGGGAGACAGAGAGGAAGGAAGGAGGGAGGGAGGGCGGAGAGGAGGGAGACAGGGAGGAAGGAGGGAGGGAGGGCAGAGAGGAGGGAGACAGAGAGGAAGGAAGGAAGGTAGAAGAGGGAGGGAGGAGAGAAGGAACAGGGAGAGAGAGAGGAAGGAGGGAGGAGCAGAGAGAGAGGGGAAGGAGGGAGAAGCATAGAGAGAGAGAGAGAGGAAGGAGGGAGGGAGGGAGGAGCATAGAGAGAGAGAGGGGAAGGAGGGAGGGAGAAGCAGAGAGAGAGGAAGGAGGGAGGGAGGAGAGAGAGCGAGATAGAGAGGAAGGAGGGAGGAGCAGAGAGAGAGAGAGGAAGGAAGGAGGGAGGGAGGGAGGAGGAGAGAGAGAGAGGAAGGAGGGAGGAGCAGAGAGAGAGAGAGGAAGGAGGGAGGGAGGAGCAGAGAGAGAGGAAGGAGGGAGGAGCAGAGAGAGAGAGGGGAAGGAGGGAGGAGCAGAGAGAGAGAGGAAGGAGGGAGGAGCAGAGAGAGAGGGACAGAGAGAGAGAGAGAGAGAGTGTGAGCGAGAGAAGGAAAGGGAGGAACAGAGAGAGAGAGAGAGAGGAAAGAGGAGAAGAGAGAGAGAGAGAGGAAGGAGGGAGGAGCAGAGAGAGAGAGAGAGAGGAAGGAGGGAGGAGCAGAGAGAGAGAGAGAGAGGGGGGGCGTCTGCGCTGCGCAGACTGTGTCGGGTTTCGGCAGCCACTGCGCAACTCACAAGCAGAGCGTCACGTGACGGCGCCGGGGATGGTGAATTGATCGATTGGCAAAAAGGAGAGAGAGAGAGAGAGAGCGAGAGAGAAAGGAAGAGCGGGGGCCAGTGGGAAATCGCTTTTTTTTACACACACACACACACACACATATATATATCTCTTAAAAAAATATGGAGACGCACATATCGTGTCTCTTCCCCGAGATTTTAGCCATGATCTTCAGCTACCTGGACGTGAGGGACAAAGGGAGAGCGGCGCAAGTGTGCACGGCTTGGAGGGACGCTGCCTACCACAAATCCGTCTGGAGGGGGGTCGAAGCCAAGTTGCATTTGAGGAGAGCCAACCCTTCCCTTTTCCCGAGCCTGCAGGCGAGGGGCATCAGGCGGGTGCAGATCCTGAGCCTGCGGCGGAGCCTGAGCTATGTGATCCAAGGCATGCCCAACATCGAGAGCCTGAACCTCAGCGGCTGCTACAACTTGACAGACATCGGCCTGGGACACGCTTTCGTGCAAGAGATCCCGTCTCTCAACGTCCTGAACCTGAGCCTCTGCAAACAGATCACGGACAGCAGTCTGGGCAGAATAGCGCAGTATCTGAAGAACCTGGAGGTGCTGGAGCTCGGCGGCTGCAGCAACATCACCAACACCGGCCTTCTGCTCATCGCCTGGGGCTTACACAGGCTCAAAAGTCTGAACCTGAGGAGCTGTCGGCATGTCTCAGACGTGGGGATCGGCCATTTGGCGGGGATGACCAGGAGCGCCGCAGAAGGCTGCTTAAATCTGGAGTACTTGACTTTACAAGACTGCCAGAAACTCTCGGATTTGTCCTTAAAACACATCTCCAAAGGCCTGACCAAACTCAAGGTGCTCAACCTGAGTTTTTGCGGCGGCATTTCAGACGCGGGTATGTTGCACCTCTCGCACATGACGAGTTTGTGGAGTCTGAACCTGAGATCTTGTGACAACATCAGCGACACCGGGATCATGCATTTAGCAATGGGGAGTTTGAGACTGACCGGGCTGGACGTGTCCTTCTGCGATAAGATAGGCGACCAAAGCTTGGCTTACATCGCCCAGGGGTTGTATCAACTCAAGTCGCTTTCCCTCTGCTCTTGCCACATAAGTGACGACGGTATCAACAAAATGGCCCGGCAGATGCACGAATTAAGGACCCTAAACATCGGCCAGTGTGTGCGGATTACAGACAAAGGACTGGAGCTCATAGCTGACCACTTGACCCAACTCACGGGCATTGATCTGTACGGCTGCACAAAAATCACCAAAAGGGGACTGGAAAGAATCACTCAACTGCCCTGCCTTAAAGTTCTCAACTTGGGACTTTGGCAGATGACTGAGAGCGAAAAAGTAAGGTGATTTTTTTAAAACACACAAAAAAAAACAAAAAAAAACTTTTAAGAAACCGCCGCCATTGTCAAAACAAGAGTAATTCTGTTTAGTTTTTACCCCCTTCTCTCTCCCCCCCCCCCCCCACCCCCCAACCCCACCACCACCACCACCTCCTCCCTCCCTCCTTCCACCCCCTCCTCCCTCCCTCCCCCCAAAACTGACCAGAGAGACAGAGAGAAAAAGAAACACGCAAACTAAACTTGATATGTGTTTCATTTGTAACACACGTCAAATTATTTCCATTGTGTGTACTGTTCCAATAAGTTGCAGTATTCTCCCAACTTTTATTTCAACAACAACAACAAAAAAAAAGTCAGTTTGATGCCGGTCATATTTTGGTTCATGGAATCTGGTAACTCACACTCCTTGTTTTGTTTTGTAGATGGTATATATATATATATATATATATGTTGCTGATAGACACATTCAAGGCTACCTCGTTTTTTTTTTAGTTTTTTTTTCCTGTGCCCTGAAATTAAAGGAGTACAACGTATATGTTTAAAACAAAAAAAAATATATATATATATATTTGCGGCTGTTAAGATCTGTGCCTCTAGAGAGCGACTTCCCCTCCCTCCGGTTGGACTACAGCGTGGCTACCTTTTTTTTGTGCGTGGGACAAAAAAAAAAGAGAGACAAGACAGACACACACATCCACGAAAAAAAATATAAGTTGGCTGGGGAAAAAATTTACAAAGGATCCATCAGCCGATGAAGCACACACGACGCTGGCATTCGCAGTACTTGCTGCACCCGAGTCGAACGACGTACTGTATTATGCAAAGGAAACACACACACACACAAAAAAAAACAACCCCCCCGAAGTTGGAAGTCTTTGAAAGGCCTTCATTTTGGCAACTGTGCAGGCTTTTTCTTTGGTCGCCACTTAACAGTTTTACTGGACGTATATTTTTCTCTTTTCAGAAATTAAAGCCTGTTCTACCTTAAATAGGACAACCACGTCAAGTGAAGAATCATCGATTCCTGAGCATTTGAGTGCCTGTCAGGGGCAATGATTGCACAGACACAGACAGACAGACAGACAAACAGAGACAGACAGACAGAGACAGACAGACAGACAGACAGTTGCTGAAGGAAAAGGAAAAACAAAAAAAATCCTGCTGATTTAACCTTATATTTGAATTGTACTGTATGTGAATTTGTAAATGATACCTAAACGTTTTATATTCTTACAGTAAACGTTAAACAAAAAAAAGTTGATATTTATATAATAAAGACAGGAAAATATGAAGTATTGTTTTGGAAAAAAAAAGGCAAAAAAAAACAAACAACAACGTCTCGCCCCCATTGTGTGTGATCATTTCGAAAAAGTACGGTGGTGGAAGTGGGCCAAAGGCGAGAGAGGGCGGGAGGGAGGGAGGGAGGGAGAGGGCCTGGGGCACAGTGGCGAGGTGTCATGGAGAGAGAGCAGCTATGTACAGAGCCCCACACCCCCCACCCACACCCCTTCCCCCCCCTCAGATAAGGTTTCCTTTTCAACTGAAATGGCCTTAACGTTATAGAGGAATATTTATCAATCTATTGCACTTTTATGGGGTGGGAGGGGGGGAGGGGAGTGGTTGTGGTGGGGGGAGGGAGGAGGTGGAGTGTGTGTGTGTGGTGTGGGGGGGTTCATCATCTTATTATTATTATTTTTGGTGGTTGTATTTCCTCAGCTGCTGATGGCGGGTTTGCTGCCTGTATTGTTAGGGAAAGTTAAGAAGCTAACAGCACTCTCTCTCTCCCCCCCTTTTCTCCCTGCCCGGCCATGCATACCAAATGGCTTAGTGTTGCGGCTCCCTCAGGATTTCGTTCTGCCCCCGGTTTTTTTTTGTGTGTGTGCGCGTTGTTTTTTTTTCTTTCTTTTTTTCTTTTTTCTCTTTTTTTTTTCCGGGAGCATTCTTGTCCCATTTCTGAGTCGCGTTTTGCACTCGGGCTGTTCAGACCTCAGGGAACCAGGGGCGCCCCCCTTAGACTTTTTGCACAACAGACATCGGGTAAGTTGTTGTGTGCTCTCTTCTCTCTCTTTCTTAACAAAAAAAGGGAGTCACTTTTTTTTCCTCTGTGAGAAAAAATGCTTTTTTTTTAAAAAAAGAGAAAGTCCCCTTTAAAACCGCAAACCTTTCAGTGTTTTAACGGGTATTTTGAACGTGTCCTTGTTTTCATTGTTATGATTTTTAAAAAATTAATAACGCATTTTTTTACATTTCTTTTTTATATATATTAAAAAAAACACACAAGACTTGCATTTAGTTGGCCTTGGACAATTAAACACATTATGCCCCAGCATTTCTGCCCCTTCTAAACTTACTAACATTGCCTTTGGGAGAAAAGCTTTGCTGATTCTTTTCTTCTCTATGGTCTGGAATATTCCAGACACTGTTTTAATAAGTACTGTAACTGTTTGGTTCTTAAATCTACTCTGGCATTTCTTCCTTAGAGGTAGAAATTGCCTCAAGCTGTCAGAACTACTTTATGGCATCACCCTCAAAACAACCAACATGAATTCTCTCTGCCCGCATGTTATAGCAGATTCTGTGAAGATCTGTTAGCATTTTGATTTGATTTAAATTAAATTGTTTTGATTATCAATCGATTTTCAAACACATCTACATTTAAAAATCCCAATAAAGGGAGCTTGCTTTTGTCGGTGCTCAGCTCAGTTATAATAATCTTTGTATTGGTGAACTGTTTTGAGTATTGAATGCATATTGAAGGTACTTTTCATTTATACATCCCTTGTTTTGACAAACTTTACAAGGACCCAAAAGGTTGAGAATATTTCACTAAATTTCGTCAGCTATGAATGTTATAAAATTCAGGTTGGAATTATGAAAGAGGAGGCCAGGTGTTTTCCCTGTAATTTGTGGATATATTTCAACGTAGGGCTGTAGAAGACTCCCGAATATACAAGGAGAATGTCCTTATGCAATAGATTTTTTTAAATGGCCATCTCGTGTAGTACTTTAATGACTTTACCTTATAATGCACCATTTTGACTGACATATCTGCACTCGTTGGATTTGTTTTTTTTTGAACAACGGAATGCTAAAATTGCATTTACTTTGAATTATTGTCACATTTTAAATTCATATCTAAAACTTGATATCTTAATATTTTTGATTTATTGAAGATGCAGTAAGTGTGACTGAAGCCTCTTAAATCGGAGCCATATTTCTTTCTGTCCTTTTCAGAAAAGAGCTGCAAAGGGTGGACTTTGTTTGTGGTCTGTCTATCTCCTGAGCCTAATTATATTTTATATTTATATTTGAGTTAAGCAGGTTGAAGGGTAATCTTTGTTAGGTAAGGATGTCAATGGGTATGGGGCAAATATGGGTAATTGGAGCTGAGGTATAGATCAACTGTGATCTAATAGAATGGCAGAACAGGCTCAAGGGGCTGAATGGCCTTCTCCTGTTCTTAAAGGCCCAACCATACCTCCTTAAAAACTAGGGTTAATTGTGTTAACTGGTCCTGAATTGATATACTTCAAGTATTTACTTGAATGCTCAAGGTTTTCTGAACAAATGGTTTTTCAGTAAGTTTCTGGTACAAAGGAAATACATTTTATGTTTGATTCAATTTAAACATGATTTATGGGTGGGGAGGTGGGGTGTGACGAGATGATGAGGGAAAGAGTCACAGGCTTTTGGAAGAAATTAAAATAAATATAACCTGTTCTGTAAGCAAAGTAATAAGGTATGTTCTTGGTGAAAAGAAAAATAAAACCGGCTTTTATAACCTTGAGCTAGCATAGAATAAATTCACAGATTGAGATTATTATTTTAAGCACTTGACTAGTGACTCAAGCTGTTTAAACAGCTAACAGCCACGTCGGTTCGCAATATCCTCCATATGAAAGACCACTATGTTGCCACATGACCAATAGTGGGGAAGGTTGTGGTGTATAAAGTTACCCACAAACTGTCCTACTGAGAAGTTTTGTGAATTATAGCAACCAAACTTGGATGCAGAAATGGGAAAAGACCTAGCATCCACTAAGGTTCCTTAAGTAATTTGTAATTGTAACAGTATTTCGAAATGATAATGCACTGTATCGTATGTTTAATCAGGTGGATATTAATAAGATGTTGTTGGCAAGTCTAAAACCAAGGGAAAGCAATGTAGGAATAGTCAGCCGCAGATCTACAAGGAAGTTTACGAGAAACTTCTTTATGCAGAAGATGATGAGAATATGGAACTCATTTCTGAAAGCTGTGGTTGAAGTAAAGAGTATTAACTATTCAAGAGGAAATTTGTTGCATAATAATAAATAATAATCACATTTGATATAGCGCCTTATCACATCGTTGAGACGTCTCAAGTGCTTCACAGAATATATTGTAAAGTGGATTGATTGTATATTTTGTGGGCGAAAGTTATATAAGAAAGAAGTGTATGTCGGGGGATTGGGAGGAGTTGAGGCTTAATTGAAGCATAAACACCAACATGGACTAGCAAGACCTAATGGCCTGTTTATATGCAGTAATGATTTATATAATATCAAATGCAAGGATTATGATGATAACCTGGGTATCGCGAGACAGGGCACAATTAAGATTTGCATTCACCTTTAAGGCCCCTACTACAAAAATCTTGAAATCGAATTTGCTTAATAACTTAACTCTCATTGGAAGAAGGGAGGGTTCTCCCAGTGTCTTGGACAACAATCCCCCAAATAAATTTGTTCATTCACTTTCTAGCTGTATTTGAGACATTGTTGTGTGCAAAATTGCTGTGTGGTTTGTCTAAATAGGCAGGATTTATACTTTGCAGTAAATCCTGTGAAGAGTTGAAGTGTCCTCCCAACATGAAAGGTGCTATATCAAGGATATATTGGAAGGATTATTTTTCTATGACAATTTTTTCTTGAGGGTGAATTATTTTGCACGGAAATGGCAGAGGTTGCTGTGAATAACTACTGAAGGATGGAGGACTGAATTGTTGGTGTGTCTATGATTAAACATTCTGGCAGCTAGTTAATCAGGCAGGTAAATATTACAAAATGGCAAGGACGTTAGTAAAATAATTGTTCACCCACCACCAAAATATTGCAGGAAATGTTAATTTAACGTAAAGGCCATTTTTGAAATACATCTAACCCAATCATTGATATCAGTTTAGCATGTAACCGTTCATAGTCAATACAAACTGCTAGGTTCAGGTTTACCCACAAAAGGTTCTGAATTGAAGTCAAACCATAAAGTGTAGCAATGGCATATTGTCACACTTAATAAAAAGATAGTAATATAAAAATCACTAAGAGTAGTACAGATCAGTCTCTTTCTGAAAATTTCCATTCAGTGACTTTCCCATAATAAGTGTGCATTCAAAAGTCACTATATTTAAGCTACTGTCTGTTACCTGTATGGTTCCTGTTTTTAGGCTCCCTGCCAATACCACTTTACTATTGGGATGAATGAAAAAGCTGCCAGAGATGCAGCATTTTCTTGTGCCACAAAAAGCAATGTGGGGGGACAAAGTAAAATGAAATAAAAATCTTAGAAAACTCCCAAGTTTATTGGCATCATGTGGGGTTTTTTTTTGTTAAAGGTCAGTTCTTTGTAACAGAAACCTGAAAGAAAGTGAATCCCTGGTATAACATTGCTTGATAACCCTCAGTAATTTAAAAAAAATAAATTCTCACCATTATTTCTCCTCCTCTTCTGAATGCATAGGACACCTTCGTTCTACTAGGGTAGAGTTCCACAGGCATTTGGAGTCCTGTAGCTCAGTGGTTAGAGCACTCGCTTTCCAAGTGAGAGACCTGAGTTCAATCCCCGGCAGAGGGCGAAACCTTGGGCAAGTTTGCTTACTCCACACAGTGCCTAATAATAATCCCTCCAAAACCAAAAACAATAATAAATTGGTCATTTTCAACCCACGACAGTTTGTGGGACATTGCTGTCCGCAATTGGCTGCCGCGTTCACCCACAAATATACAGTCAATTCACTTTACAGTGTGTTCTGTGAAGCGCTTTGGGACGTCCTCCCGACGTGAAAAGCGCTATATCAAATGCAAGGATTATTATTATTATTTGTCATCATTATTCATGTACGAGGCTTGACGGTAAGTTTTAGCAGGCTATTAAATATTCAATATGGATAAGAGCTCCACAACTCTATAATATTATTATTAACTCAGGTCATGGGTCTTAAATTCTGAGTTGATTTAACTACTTTAAGCAGAAGTTTGTTGACACTTCAAATTATTTTCCCAGGGATGCTAATCAAATCATTTTCCCAAGTAGT